GAAAAATATGAGTCCATAATAACTCACCCGATTCAGACCAGACCACTTTTTCACTGCAGAAAGCAATATTATGGATAGAGGACTTGTATGTTAGCGGGAAACAACGGTTAAAATCGTCTTAATGCTGGATTTGTTTCAGCTTTTGTCTTCTCCAGATGTTAACTGATGGACTGGAGTGCTGTGGATTATTGTGATGTTTTTATCAGCTGTTTGGACTCTCATTCTGACGGCACCCATTCACTGCACTGCAGAGCAGTGTACAGTATTTGAAAAATAATGTGTTTTTTTAACATTAAAGCATGTCAACATATTCTGTAACACCAAATACACAAAATAATGATCTTTAAAAAAGCATCATATGACCCCTTTAAATGTCTTTTGCATGTTAAAGGAATAGCCCAAAAATAAAAATGTGCTCACTCTCAGGCCATCCAATGTGTACATGTGTTTGTTTCTTCATCAATGTGAACTGATGGACTGGAGTGCTGTGGATTATTGTGATGTTTTATCAGCTGTTTGGACTCTTGTATGTAGAGGTATTTTAGATGGTGTTTTGAAGATTATATGACAGTCCGTGTGAACAGCTCCTCACTAACGAGGGATCCTGCTGTTGGGGTTTTATGGTTCAGAGTGCAGTAACTCTCTTAATATTCCGACATGGGCTCAAACCGGCTGGAATGTAAACAAAAGCCCTCAGCGGCCGGATCGGCCTGTTAATGAGGCTGTAAGGAATGCGGAAGAATGACAGCGCTAGGATGAAGCAACGGCCACTACACCCACATAAACACATCCTTTACAGTAAGAACCCAAGTGTACGTTATCTTCCACACATCCATGAGAGCCGCCTGCCGTTTAGCTGCGGCACATTCACCCGTGTGAGTCAGAGCTGCGCTTTTGAGCCGCATATGTGACGTTCAGTAATCCAGTTTCCAGTACGAAGCATGTGGCCTTTCTGATGGTCAAAAGAACCTAATTTTATAAAAAGGTCCTTGTAAAAATGCTTTATAATTTAATGCATTAATTGGAAAATATTTGATTAATACATGGACGTGAAATAGTGATTTGAACTTAAGTATACAATGTGTATAAAATTCATTATACATAAATATTTGAAAACCTAGTGCCTGGATTGACCAATCAGAATCAAGTATTCCAGACATCAGAGTAACAATTGACTTTAATGTGAGTTTTAAAGAAGCCAATTTTGAATTTGTTGATTAAGCTGCTATTTTTAATCATTTCAAAATCACTAAACTAATTAAGTGAAACTTACGGAACTATGAATGTGTTAATTTAGCTTTTCATATTGACCCAATTCATTAATATCTTATTTTTAAAAAATGCATATTTTTAATCATTTAAAAATCATTAAGTGAAAATTCATTGAGAATTTGTTGATTTTGTTTTTCATATTCACCCAAATAATTAATAATATCTTATTTGTTATTTTGTTTTATATATTCACCCAAATAATTAATATCTTTTTTTAAAGCGTATAATCATTTAAAATTCATTAAAATCATTTTTTATTATTTTTTTTTTAATAATTTTAAATCATTAATATCTTTTTTTTTTTTTAAAGGTGTATAACCATTTAAAAATCAGTAAGTGAAATTTATGGAATTGAGAACTTTTGTTTTTCATATTCATCCAAATAATATCTTATTTAAAAAAAAAGATTTTTTTAATAATTAAAACTTAAGTGAAATTTATTGAATTAAGAAATGCTAATTTTGTTTTTCAAATTCATGCAATTTTCAAATAACTTGTTTTAAAAAATGTGTATTATTAATCAATTTAATCATAAATTCATTAAGTGAAATTTATGCAACATAATTTGTTCATTTTGTTTTTCATATTAACTCAAATTAATAAATTGTATTGTTTAAAAAATTTTTTATAATGTATGAAATGTATGGAACTATGAATTTGTTGATTTTTTTTGTCCCCCATATTTATCCATTATGTTTTTAAAAATGTGTATTTTTAGTCATTTAAAAATCATTAAGTGTAATTTATGCAATAGAGAATTTGTTTTTCATAATTACTAAAATAAGTAATCGTTTTTTTTGTTGTTAAATCATTTAAAAATCATCAAACTGAGTGACATTTATGGATTAGTTGCTGAAGCCGTCTTGAGGAAGCACACACTATCTGCTGAACTGCTCTCGGTCGTTTTGTTTTCAGGAGTTTTTACGGGAAGTGTGAGTGGAAGGGCCTGACGGGGGAAGGTCCGTGTGTTTTTGTTTAGTCATTTGGTTTTGAAGTCAAACCCCTCCCATGTGATCGCCTCGTAACTGACCCACGCCGACAAGAACACATTTCAGCAACGGGCGACCTGAAGCCGTGATTTATCATCATTTTTTTATCTAGTATCCTGTCCTTTTGTGCGCCGGACCTCACACTTTCTCAGGCAGTGACAGATGTGTTCACCCATCTCGAGCTCATCTCCTCGGTCTCGGCCTCCCTCACGCGCCGCACGTAGCAGGATCATTAAAATACTGCTTCCTCTGGCAGGAGGCCAAGCATCCGGGCTTCAGATCAGTTCATCTCTGTCTTTAGCGCTCACACATAGAGGTGGAGGTTTGGCGGTGAGGGTTAAAGCACGAAATGTTGTGACGCTCAGGAAACAATTGCCAAGCAGCTGCCTGCTCCAGCCTTCAGAGTCAGACCGCCTGGAGTGTGTAAGACCAGTGCTTATACACTGTTACATTGTCCTGTAGAGAGCTGCACACACACACACACACACACATATATAAAGTATTGTGCATTATGGTAGTATTTGTTGTACTGACTTACATTTATTGCATTTAAAAATATATAAATAATTTCTTATTTTTTATATTAATGGAAAAAATTATTCTCAAATAATTAACTTTTTTCTTATTTAAAAAAAATGTATTTTTTAATCATTTTTAAATTTCATTACACTCAAATTAAGTTTATGGAAGAGTTTTTGTAAAGAATGTATACATTGTGGCAGTTTTTGTACTGACTTGAATGTGAATTTATTAAATAAAAAAATGTTGTAAAGCAAAATATGTACTTCTTATTTTAGAGCTTTTTTTTTTTTTTTGGTATTCACCCAAATAATTAATAACTAAAAACATGAAAAGTGCATTTTTAATCATTTAGAAGTCATCAAACTCACCAATCATTACATTACAATTATAAAGATTTATTTATGTATTTATTTGACTATTGTTAAATTGTGGTAGTATTTGTACTGACGTAAATTTGAATTTCTAGAATTAAAAAAACTATTTTATATATATATATATATAATTTTTTTTAGGGCAAAATATTTTTTCATATTCACTCAAACAACTGAAATAATAATAATAGTAATAATAATAATAGTAATATAAAGTGTATTTTTAATAATTAAAAAAAAAATCATTAAACCCATTAATCATTCATTTAAATTTATGAAAGTTTTTTTTAACTTGTTAAAAAATTATGAATTAAATCATGATGATTTAAAGTGCTTTTTTTTTTTTTTGCCTCTGGTGGGGCTTTAAGTTCTATTTGTATTGTTTTAGAACCTGCTGGTCCTGATTTCATTTTATTCCATTTTTTTCATAGTATTTGGTGTTTTTAAAGTGATTTTAAATGATTTGGAGACAGAAACATCTGTTTGTAGATGCTTTGTCTGATTAGTTTTGTATTGATTCCCTTTTCTATAATGTCATTTTAACATGTTTGTGTGTATGGATGGATGTTATCTGTTAGACCCACGTGAGTTTGTGTTGTCGACAATATTTTCTTTTTCACTCCCCCCAAATAAAAGCTGATCAAGAAGCACTGCTGAGTCCCACGTCTTTACTCCAGCAAACCTGCTGGCTTCTCAAGAAAAGTGTTAATGGTTTTATTAGTTCATTTAACCTTAAATCCTTCCTCACTGTAAATGAGGGAAATCACTGCAAATGCTGAGGAAACTGAGACGTATGTTTTCATTACACACTTCCAGCAGGTCATTACTTTTGGCACAAGAGCGCAGACAGGACTCTAGTGTTTAGGATGTTTGTAATAATGTTGCTATGGTTTTGTATTAATGTGTCTAGAATGTGAAAGAACTAGCTTGATTTCTGATGTGAGACACTGACAATGCTGATTTGGCCTGAAAACATCAGTCTCAACAATCTGTTTTCTCAACAATGCAGGACATGAAGCTTTCCACTCAAATCAACCCCATGCTTTTAACTTAAACTCATACGACTGGACTTCAAATAAAGTGGTTGTGTTATTAAAGCTGCACGAATTGGTCAGAAATCATATTGTAGTCGTTTTCGTGTGATTTGATCTGCAATATTTCAGAACTCAATACACACACACATTTATATAAAATGTAAGTATTGAGCATTGTGTTGTACTGACTTAAACTTATTGCATTTTAAAAAAATCTATTTAATACAATATTTTTATATTAAGGCAAAATTATTCTTTTTTTTTACAATTTTTACATTTTTTTATATTTTTATTTTAATAATAATTTAATAATAATCCTTACACTCAAATTAAATTTATGGCAGTTTTTTTTGTAAAGTATTTATACATTGTGTTAGTATTTGTTGTACTGACTAAATGTTTTTTTGTTTTTTTTTATACATTTTTAACACAATTAATTTTTTATATTAGGGCAAAATATTTTTTGTATTCACCCAAATAATTAAAAAGTAAAATAAATAAATAAAAGAGTGAATGGATGGATGAATAAATAAATAAATGTATTTTTAAATAATTTAAAAATCATTAATCATTGAATTAAATGTATGGATTTTTTTTATTTAGCTTTATTTTTTTACATTGTGGTAGTATAATACAAATATTTTTATAACAAAACATGTTGTTGTTTTTTTTTTACTTTTATTTTAGGGCAACAAAATAAGTTCAACCAAATAATTCAAAATCTGTGATATGAAGCTTACATATGAAAACTAAAAGAGCAAAAATGCATTAAAAATGAGTGTAATTGACCGTTTTGGCTGTTTTGTTCACAGGCGATGGTGGCATGTTATCCGGGTAAAGGCTCTGGTTATGTGCGCCATGTGGACAACCCGAATGGAGATGGGAGATGTGTCACATGCATATATTACCTTAATAAGAATTGGGATGCCAAGGTACGTAAATCATCTTTAACATAAAAAATTGTGATTTAATGTTAAAAGAGTATGATTTGAACAAATCTCGCTGGACTTTTAATTTGAGGCATGATGTCTGGTTCATATTGCATCCTATTCTGGAAGAGTTTATGGCTTTGCGGTTTTCAAAGCATGCATCATTTGCTGAATGTCCAGCGTCTGCATACGTGCCGGTACGCCTGCATCATTTCAGCCTAATCCCATTAACCTCAGCAATTATAATCTCCAGAGAAAACCAGGAGGAGAGATCCTAAAACAGCTCACCGAGTCACGGAAATGAGGCACGAGACTCATTAAAAGAGAAAACGATGGTGCTGCTCGCACACGAACCATGCAATCAATTCAGTACACTTTGTAAAGATTGCATAAATGTCCTATCAAACTATTTTTTTGAATGCTGTGTTCGTTGTCTTGTTCATTGACTGCATTCCAGTTCTGTTTCATACATAATATCCACCATATTTACTTTAGTTGCTTGGTTACACAGATTAGATGAGATGAAAAACACATACTGTGACTCTTACCTGCTGCCATGATCCTGTTTTCTTTTCTTCTTTTTCTAGACTAGATTTTCAGAAAGCACAAATGATTTAAGATGAGTTACACAACAAAGTTTAATATTTAAATTCAGTTGCCCCTACAGCCCCAAATATTATGCATCTTGAATTTTCTTATAGGAAAAAGATAATATAGGAAGATAATTCTCTATTTTTCCTTGTTTCTCTCCTTTTTTTTGGAATATGTCATTTGACGAGTTAATATTCTTTTTTTCTTGTTGGTTTTCAATCACTATATTTTAATTTCAACGGATGATGATTATTATTATTAATAATAATTATTATTATTATTAATAATAATAATAAAGTAGAATTGACATTGCAATTACTATGTAAGAATGTTATTTAATTCTTTAATTTAATTTAAGAATTACATTTTATTATTTACTTTTACACAGTTTGTCGATTTTGCAGTCTAAATACTGTAACTTTTATATGCCGTTATGATTGTATATTTCTTGCAAAAATTAATTTTTTTTTAAAATTGCATCACGTTATGTATTGCTCATTTTTTTACTATAGTAAATAAATACCTTCTATACAAACATGCACACATAAATACTATCCCATTAAGAATTTTGTAATATTTTATGTGAAAAGAATTATTTTGTGATATTTCTGAATCATGCCATATTGGAAACATGATAAAAATGGCAAGTGTTTATACAATTTAAAAAAGAAAAACGATATATTCAGTCACACGTCGTCTGTGTTCTCAAATCAGAATTATTATAGTCGTCTAAAATTAAAACCATAAATAAATCATTTTTGTTATGACTTAAAAATGTTACCTTAAAATATAAATATAAAACTATATAAACTAATAAATATAAAAACACATTTAAACTTTAAATATAAAAAACTTGAACTTTTTATATTTCAGCATTTTCATTGTTTAACTTGATGTACTAAAATAACTAAAACTAAAATTTAGACAAAAATTTAAAACTTTATAGATATTTATTAATTTAAAAAAATGACAAAACCGCTACAAAATAACAAAAAACTTCAACTAAAATTTAAATTAAAACAAAAAATATAAAAATAAAAAGAATTCAAAATATTGATAAAAACTATAATAGTATCTCAGTGAATTCTAAAATAACACCGTCTCAAATAATAAAGCCTAATCATTTGAGCATTCACTGTGTACCTGCATAAAGCGTGTGCGTTCAGCTCCACGGAGAGAAACGTGCTGTGCGTGCCCCGCGGACCGTACGTGTGAAAGATTAATTCTCGCACCCTCAGCAGTCTGCTTCCCTGCGCTCGCCGACGTCTCTTTATCCAGCATGTGGCCCTTTCCTCTCGTCCCTCTTCTATTTCAGGAAGGCCGCGCTCCGCTGCCGTTTCCTATCCTAACCTCCTCCAGACCTGGCCTCTCATTGTTTGTGTCGCTCTGTTATTTCTGCTAATGGAATTTATCATTATCACTAAAAAAGCTCCAGTCACGCACTGCTGAGTCGACTGTATTGTCAGTAGTCACGTTATATCACGTTAGTTTAATATGACTGGAAACAGCATTAGAGACCAAGTTGCATGGAAAAAAATAAAATAAAATTGCATTTACAATAATGCATTCACAACGAAAGTCTATAGGCAAAACATTTAAGAGAGTTTAGATGCAAGAATGTACAGCTTGCATTTTTGTTGAAGCACTTAAAGTTTTGGTAGCACTTTATTTTAAGGAGCAGTTCTCAATTAACTAGTTGCTTATTAGCATGCATATTACTACTAGCATATTGGCTGTTTATTAGTACTTATAAAGCACTGCCTTATTTTGCATGAGCATATTTTAGATCGTTTAATCCTACACCAAACCTAAACTTAACAACTATCTTACTAACCATTAGGTTAGTAAGATAGGACTTCCATTGCAAGTCCTCTACTGTAAATACAATTTTTGCTCGTTTTTACGAACTGATTATTTTCAAACTAATTCTTTTCTGTGCTAATTGACATTATAGTCTGTATTTTACATGTAAAACCTGTGCATGTTATCACACTCATTGTTTGGGTATTGTCACATTAAGAATTGTAAGTAATTGAGCATTTTTGATGATTTGTTTAATGATAAACCTGATCTCATAATTGAGTTCTCTGTTATTTGTGTCTTCAGGAAAATGGGGGTGTATTGCGGATATTTCCAGAGGGTAAAGCTCAGTTTGCGGACATCGAACCCAAATTTGACCGCTTGGTTTTATTCTGGTCTGATAGAAGAAACCCTCATGAGGTCCAGCCTGCGTATGATACAAGGTCATCATCATCATCATCATCATCGCTAAAGCACACGACAAACACACTCTACACATACAATGAATTTTCTTCTCACATGTTCTTGGTCTAGTCCTGTTTTATAACTCATAAACTTTGTCTTTCTCACTGTGTAGATATGCCATTACCGTGTGGTATTTTGATGCTGATGAGCGGGCGAGAGCTAAAGAAAAGTACCTAACAGGTAAGCTCAGTGGGATAGTTCACCTCAAAATAAAATACTGTCATTATTATTTTCTGTGGAACACAAAAGAAGGGTTTGAGCAGTCTTATTTCAATATAAAAGCCCCAAAGGCAATCCAAGATTAGGATGAGTTTGTTTCTTCATCAGATTTGGAGAAATGTAGCATTGCATCACTTGCTCTGCAGTGAATGGGTGCCGTCAGAATGAGAGCTGATAAAAACATCACAATAATCCACAAGTAATCCACTCCAGTCCAGTCCATCAGTTAATGTCTTGTGAAGTGAAAAGCTGTGTGTTTGTAAGAAACAAATCCATCATTAAAGCGTTTTAACTTTAAACTGTCAGTTCTGGCTAAAATACGAGTCCATGATCCATAATGACGGCACCCATTCACTGCAGAGGATCCATTGGTGAGCAAGTGATGCAATGCTACATTTCTCCAAATCTGATGAAGAAACAAACTCGTGTTAATCTTGGATGGCCTGAGGGTGAGTAAATTATCAGCAAATTTTTATTTTTGGCTGAACTATTCCTGTAGTGTTTTAGTTTTGTTTCTTAAAACCAAACAAACACATGCTTTGTGCAAGTTAAAAATTCTGAGGTTAATGTTTGTTTTCTTTCCTTCTTATGGTTGTCTTTTTGGAAAGGTGCAGGTGAAAAAGGAGAGAAGGTGGAGCTAAACAAGCCGTCTGAACCAAGCTAATCAAATGATCATTAATCCAGATTTTTCCTGGTTACCAGCTGCGTGGAAAAAAAAAGAAGAAGAGCGAGTCGGAAAAGGCTGCGGGTGTCTGTGACGAGAAAGGAGCAGAAGATTGAATTAATAGAGATTAAAAGCTCTGCAGAATTCAACCACATTTCCCCGAAAACCAGCTAAACTTTAAATATGACTCTGTTGGTTTAATTTTAGTTTTAAAAGGTACAGTACTCTGTATTACATTTACATTAACGCTTCTCATGTGACTGGAGTCACAGTGCTTCTGAGGAATGTTTAAAAAGCCTTTTGTTTTTGCTTCTGGGAAGAGTTCCTGCATTTTGACCTGATCTTTGTGAATCAAGCTTGCACATCCATGCATGTTATTTCTCATAACTGCACCAGAACAGATCGGATCATCTATTCATATTGAAATACAGCCAATGCCCGCGAGGTAGTGAACTTTCGGCATGTTTATTCAGGACTGTGTGCTGGCAGATGCATCATGGGAATGTCATCTGCAATTCTACAGCTTTACGTTCTTACATGCACTAGGTCAGTGCGAGTCCAGTATTGAGCGTTATTGTCTGTCATGACCTGCACGTTATTGTCTAATTTGGACAAAATTAAAGCCTGTTTGCTTTTTAGATTTTCTGTGGAATTTCTGTGCTGTCCAAGTTAAGTCATGTGCTTAAACTGAATTTAGCACTTATATAAACTGATTGTAAACCCTATTATTTTATTATGAGCAAGACCATCTGCTGCTATTTAATAAAAAAATTTAAAAATTTTTTTTTAAAAATACAGGCCTTCACATAATATAAATAAATCATGGGGCTTTAACAAAGATTTACATAAAATTGAATTGAGATCTATCTCACTTTTTTTTTTTTTTGTAGGTAAACACAAGCTTTACATATAGTAAAATATTCTGGTTTTCTGATCTACTAAAATTCTAGTGATTTTAAAATGTTTAAACACCAGTTGTTTACCGCCAGCGTCAGTTATTGCTGCAGTAATTGTGATATTTGTTACTTGTGTGTTCATGGTGTCCATGAAAACATTCTACAAAAATTCAGTTAAATGAGGAACGGCTAGAAAAATTGTGCAACTGCGCCACATAGTGGTCACAATGATAATGTCAAAATTTCAACATGATATCTGCAGAATTTTTTAAGTCAAATTGAAGACTTTAAGTCTTTTGTAAGCCCTCCACAAATAAAATAAAATGCTAAACAGGGTAACTGCAAGTTTAGAATGCGTATTGAAATTGGATGTAACAATATGTACTAATATATAAATAGTAGTATATAAATAGCCTACATACGAATTAGAAGTCGATCGATATTGGTGTTTGCCGATACGATAATAATGTGTTTAAAGAGACAATAAAAAGATAGTGATGATGCTAATCAAATCAATTTAGTGAATGTGTTAAATAATGTTTTTAGTCTTTTCTTATTGTGACAGGGCGCCAGTGAAGCCACAAGATTTTACACTTGCCAGATACAGTTTATTGTGTATCCAAAATACCAAGAATATCCAGGAGGAGATATTATATCCCAAGATACAACACCCCGAAATACTCTGGCACTCTTATTTTTAAGTGTTTATGCTTTACTACGGCCTTCAATTTGATCAATTTGCTGCTTGTGCCATATTATACAATTTTTATTATATTATTTTAACATCAATTTTTTATTTTTTTTTTGCTCCTGCATAAACTCATTCAAACATTTAATCATCACAGTACCTGTTTTAAGATACAGAAAGGACTGTGCCAAATACAAATTGATTAAACCCAAAGCACACCAGTGAATAAATGATGACATTTTAAACATAAAAATCAACCCTGCAAGAAGCTGACAGTTATGGGAGAGAACATAAATAAGATTTACATCAAATATCAACAGAAGACTGAATTTTAAAATGAAACAAAATTATTATAATTTGAGTAAAATTACACTTTTTCTGAATTAATTATTAGTTTGGATTCAAACTACAACAATTATTTAAGTTATAATAGTTGTAATATTCACTTTTGACTTTAAAACAGACCCATCTCACAATTACTGATTTCGAATGGCACATATGTCAGTGTTATTGATAGGATATCTGTATAATTTATGTAGTGACGTTACATAGTTTCACTGTTGCATTGCTGCCCAGTGAAAACCCTGGATAGAGCGGTTGAGTGAATGTGGACTGGACTTTATGAATGAGGGTCATTGTGTCAGAGACGCTGTAGAAGGACAGAATTCCTGCACCGTGATCCACATACACTCCTATTCTAGAGGAGCTGGACGCTACGATGAGTTTAGTCTTTGCATTATTGTGCAGGAATATGTATTTGGGGGAAGAGCACAGCAATTTCCAGGACTGATTATTATGTCCAAACTTACACTCATTGTCGCGTCCCTTCCTGCTGATGCTCTTATAAGACAACGATACACCCAAACATGCACTCAGACCACAGTCGACCTCCCAGTAACAGCGTCCAGACACGCTCTCTCTACACAACACCTGAACTACAGAATCAAATCTGTCCGGATGATCAGGATACAGCAGGCCTGTAAGAGTGCTAGTAACCGTCCTGTTCCCATCAGACAGACTGAGGTTTTTATTAGTCGTGTTTGAATCCATAGTGAACTGATGGAAATCTAAAAAAATATATAAGCAGATAATCTTTCATTATTTAAAAACACAATCTTGTTTTTATTAGGCATAGCTTAAGATCAAAGGGTTTCAGAAATTCCTATTTGGAATTTAAGAGTTAAACTTACATCTCAAGTATTCCTCTCTGGTCTCAAAATCAGGGCCGAGAATTATCTGAACGTGTTTCACTAGGAAAACCACAAGGTCTCTGATGTTTAATTCTCATGTTGAGAGAAAAATATATTCTAAATCAGTGGTGTCAAACATAATTCCTGAAGGGCCGGAGCCCAGCAGAGTTTTGTTCCAACCCTGCTCCAACACATACCATGTAGTTTTCAAATAAGCCTGAAGGACTTGATTAGTTGGATCAGGTGTGTTTAATTAGGGTTGAATCTAAACTCTGCCGGGCTCCGGCCCTCCAGGAATTGAGTTTGACACCCCTGTTCTAAACCATTAATGCTGAATGAACATCAATAAATAGATGAATGTCTGATAATTTACCTGTAGCAGATATGTTTTCTATGGCCTCTCTGCAGTAATGATTTAGTTGGTCTCTGAGTTTAGAGACAGATTTACTAACATCATCAAAAGAGAGGACAGAACTTATGATGATTCTGGGTGATTTTGAAGATCCAGAGACAGAGAGGGACTGGAAACTCTACACAGACAAAAAGACAAACAACAGATGAAACAGAAATACTTCACCCAAAAAGGACAATTCCCTAGAGCTAAGGGGGTGCGATATCACAATTTTTGATCGTGGACGATTAAAATGTCTCCACGATCTGCATCTGCTTATGGTCTCGATATACTGTACAATGCCACATACATTCACATCAACTCAGCCGTTACACTCACGGGACACTGCACTTATTCGCAATCACAAAAGTACATTATTTGCATGTGCTTTAAAGCCTTGCCGGTTAAACGTTTCATTCGCGTGCTCTTCTGACTTGCGCTTTTTCTGAGTGCGTACACCTGAAGCGCGCGCACACCAAAAAGCCTGTCAAACAGCGCCTGATTACTGGACTAAGTTATCTTTCGCGTCTGATTGCACTAATACTGTCAAAACACACAAGGTTTATAAACACAGCTGGTTACTAAAGTGAAAGTACACAGTTGAGAGAAAAACGGATGCGTGCCTTTATAGCAGATGCGTGCAGCTCTTAAAGTGACAGCAGACTAATAGTAGGCTACTAAACATGCTGCCACTTGTCATTAAAGGGATAGTTCACCCAAAAATGAAAATTCTGTCGTTATTTACTCACTCTCATGTTGTCCCAAACCTGTATTAATTTCTTTCTTGTGCTGAACACAAACAAAGATATTATGAAGAATGTGGGTAACCAAACAGTTGCTGGTCCCCATTGACTTTGATAGTGGGAAAAAAATACTATGGAAGTCACTCAGGACCAGCAACTGTTTGGTTACCCACATTCTTCATAATAAATGTTATGTTCAACAGAAGAAAGAAACAAATTAATGTTTAAAACAACTTGAGAGTAAATGATGACAGAATTTTCATTTTTTTGGGGTGAACTTTCCCTTTAATGTTAATAAAACATCAAAACACAAAGACAAAAATCCCTCACTGCTCTTGACTGAAGAACTTTAATAGAGTTGCTTTAATAAGAATCAATGTATAATTTATACAGTGAAGTAAAAATAGTGTTTTATTTTTATATTTGTTGATTCAATTTCTTGAATGCTACTGCTAAATACACCTGCTGTATCTGAAAAAAAAAGCACTGTTTGTTTTATTTGTATATTATGTGTATTTGTAATGTGCATTTTTGTTCTTATTTTTTAATAACAAAGATAAAATAATGACAAAGATTTTTTATCTTCGCCCACTTTGGCCTAAATATCTGCCATTCTTTTATATTTTATATTTTGTTGCCTTGTAAGGCTTCGTTTTTAAAATAGGGAAATTAGTTTGGCTGTACTGCTCAGACAACTTGCAAAATAATAAAACCAACATGACAAAGAATCGTGATAAAATTGTGAATCTTGATTTTCCTGAAAAAAATTGTGATGATATTTTTGCCATATCGCCCACCCCTACCTATAGAGCACAGAGCTTTTCTTTTCTATATAACAACATCATTCATAATAAGAATGACTGTCATGACCCAAATCCAATTCTGTCACCTGGAGCAAATGGACATGATCATCTGTGTCTGAAAGCTGCTCCAGTTCAGTCTTATTCCTCCTCAGATCCGTGATCTCCTGCTTCAGCCGCTCCAGTCGTTCTTCAGCTCGACTCACTGAAGCTCTTTCCTGAGCTCTGATCAGCTGTGTCACCTCAGAGCGGCCTCTCTCAACGGAGCGAATGAGATCAGAGAAGATCTTCTCACTGTCCTCCACTGCCGCCTGTGCAGATCGCTATTAGGACACAAATCACAATCAGTGAGAGAGTTCTTCAGCAGAGGAAGAGAGTCTCAAACAGCCAGCAGTTGTTCTCCTGCAAACTCACCTTATGAGACTCCACAGTCTCTCTCAGTTCCTGAAGCTTCATCTCTTTCTTCTGGATTTTCTGCAGGTATGTTCTCTGCATCTTCCTCAAATGACCCTGTCAGATAAACAAATGACCACAGAAACTTATGTAACAAAATAGAAACGATAACAACATCATTATGTAAATTACTGAATTTGAAATCAGTGTTTTTTATTTATTTATTTTTGATTGAGTAGGTTGTAGCACCAAATATGGAAAGATGATCTTCAAAATCAAATTCCTACTCGGCTAACAGAGAACATTCTCACAAATATCATATAACATTTTTCAAAAGTTATATAAATGTTAGGACAAAACGTTTGTAAGTAACGTTTATCGCCCTTTTGTTATTTTATATACAGTACGTTCTCATAATGTTGAGAGAAAACGTCCTTATGATGTTAGTGTACTTGAGGAACATTCTTGGAAACATTTTTGTAACCTTTAAAAAACATTGTAATTACATCAAAACATTTTAACATTCTTAGAAAACATTCAAATAACGTTATATTTTGGATGAAAATAAAGTTAGTAGAATGTAGAATGTAAG